AGAGACATCTTATTCATTTATTCATTATTTTGTATTATCTTTTTTTAAATGAAATTATCTATGAAATATTGGCTTATCCTCTGTAATTTCATTAAAAAATTCTTACAGTTACTAAACCCCCGCATATTTGAAAAGTTTATTAATTGACTTTTAAAATAAAACTCTATTCTGTTTTGCATAAACATTTTTTTGTTTTGCTAACTGTGTTTGTATCTGAATCATTTGTTATAAAGCCTTTTTGATTTTGGATTTGCAACATCAACTAATTTCCTTGATAGGATAAAACTCTCCTCAGCCTCTTCCTTATACAACTAAACTACTCCTTCATTATTCTTCAAATAAAATTACAACATAATAATATTAGAGAAATAACTCTTTATTCAGTAAATATGGTATAAAAATAAATAAAATGAATCAATAAATTACAAGATACGTTAAAATTTATATTTAAGTTGGTTTATTTAATATTTATGTAATTTTTATGTAAAATTCAATGTCAAATATCTTTCAAGGCTTTTAGACATTCAACTTAATATTAGAAATGTATTACTTTTACTTTCTTTAGCCCATTTATGATTTGGATTTATCTTTAAGGCTTGTTCATAAATTATTAAAGCTTCTTAGAATTTATTCTGATCTTGTAAACATTGACCTATAAAGAAAATCACCAAAAATCATCAACCTTTTGCCCATAATGAGTCACAACTGTCTGGGTAATTTTTTAAATTTGACTCAATAACTGCGATGGCTTTTTCATACTCTTTCAAAGCTCTTAATGCATTACCTTCAAACTATCAAACAAGAGTACCTTTAGTAAATAAAGAATATCGATCTTTCGGATCTACCTGCAATGCCTTATCTGCCCAAATGATTGCTTCATTATTTTAATCAAGCATTCTTAAACTATCAGCTAAAAAATTAAATGATTACTATACCTTTTAAATACAATGAATTTTGATGCTTTGGATCTATCTGCAATGCCTTATCTGCCCAAATGATTGCTTAATTGTATTAACCAAGCTATTTTAAAAGAACACATTTT